AGTGTCTATAAGTAGGTTCTATGAATTATTGCAAAACATTACGATTTGATTTCAAGGTTAAAGTGTTCGGCAAACGTATCAAGTAACAGGGGCGAATCTAGCATCCACGTTCAGCTAGGGCGGAGATTGACTTTGACTATTGACCATTGAAGGCTCGACTTGAAAACATTTTTTACTCAAGTTGAAGCGCACTAATTCATCTTACTATCCAGGTTAAATGGAAAGAATTTTTTATAGTTCTTAGGTGGTGAAGCAATTCATAAATGGTAGAAGAAAGATGGGTTTGTTAGATGCTATAGAAGTGGGTTTCTCGACTTGGTATGCAAAGAATTCCATGGTTATATGCTAGTTAGTTAACACCATGGAATTAGATATTATAGTTTTATTTTTTTCCTTATCAACTATGAAATACTAGTGGGGGAGAATGATGCATGGATGCCCAACTTTGGTGCGATGTATCAAGTTCTTGAGATAAAGCCTGTCATTATATTGGCAGACTCTACTATAATGCTAAAAATTGTTTGTGGCTAGAGATGGATATTTATACTGATTATAAGGGAGATGTCGACTAAGACAGTAAGATTCAAGCAAATACAATAGAAGAATCAGACTTTAAAGTTCTGAGAGGCCTAAACTATCAATACAATCAAATTTGTGGAAGGATATTAGGTCAGGATCTACTACTGATTGCTGTCATTGTGAGAGCTTTATGGCAGTAAGATTCAAGCAAATACAATAGAAGAATTAGACTTTAAAGTTCTGAGAGGCCTAAACTATCAATACAATCAAATTTGTGGAAGGATATTAGGTCAGGATCTACTACTGATTGCTGTCATTGTGAGAGCTTTATGGCAATGTTATGAGGGAGGCAAGAAAGCAAGCTGACATGTGATGCTTAGATGCCTAAATATTGAAGTTTGTGTATTGTATATACATAGCTGGTATGGATCTGGTAAGTATTTATAAAAATATCAGGAAGAATAGGAATGGAAAGGACAAGTTGTGGTTTGATAAATATATTTATCAGAAGTCTTAGCACACTATAGAGAGATTTATTGGATAATACATGAAAATCCACAGCATTGGAGTAAGGGAAATAAGTTTTCAAATCGGTTGACATAGGTTTTAAGTGCAACTGATCCAACAAAAGAACCAATGTAACTCCACTGAGACTTTTGAGTAAAATCACAATTCTTAGTAGCAACTCGATAATCCTAATTTCCTTTTCTATATGAATTAAGCATTGATGAATGTCGACCGATTAATAAATTATAACTAATAACACAAAAGACATCAATTCATTGCATCAAACAAGAAAAACACTCAAGTCAATCAACAGACTCAAGAGTCAAGTCACCTTCAATACGCTTAATAAACAACAAAGAGTTTGCAAATTGCAGTTGCACAACAGCACAAGCACAAATCGACAAATAAATTTGAATTGTTGAATTGCAAATTGACAAATCAACAAAAAGTTTGCACAAATCGACAAATCAACAAAGGTTTGCAAATTGCAATATTCAAGCAAGACTTCAAGTTATTTAAATTTCAACTCACAAGTCGCCTCCAAGAGTCCAAGTCTAGTCCTCGGAGTCTGTCGGTCAGAGAATCGTCCCTAACTTCGCACACTGGCAGTACATGGTCCAACGGCCACCTCCTCCAGTTGCTACAGCTCTGCTTCGAATGGAAATTTAAGGTTTTGCTATTTGCACTTGGCTGCCGGATTCAAATGGAGGGTTGGGAGAATGAGAAATCAAATTAATACAATGCCATGGACCTCAGGGCTTGGATCTGGTTTCAATTTCCTTATTTGGGCAATTGTGCCTAATTTATTTATTTTTTTTTATTTAAAGGCCCAATCTCCAATCAGATAGCCCAAACAAAAAAAAATGGAAATTTGGAAGTCTTCTTCTTCGTTCGGCTTCCTGGTCTGCAAACTACTGTACCTATGCGCAGCCACCAACCCTGCAACAACCTGGCGGCCGACGGTTTTGGCGAAGCTCTACATCCGCCACTGTCAAGGAATGAGAGGTCGAGCTATCAAGTTCTTATTTTTTATATACACTTTAATATAGTATTTTCGATAAGTCTACCTTTATTAATATTGAGGATAGTGTCGTCTCCAAAGTAGTATGGCCAACTACTGAAGATATTCATGAATTAAACTAGTATATATAACATATAGCATACTCACGTGAGTTTAGTAAATTAAAGGTCCTTCAAGTTTGTGCATGGAGTACTTTTGATTTGCCAATATAGGGTTGTTGTTTAAAGACTAGCTACCATACCACCTTAGTTAGCATTTGAGGTATTTTAACTAAATAGAGATTCAAGTACAAAAGAAGGTAGTCTACTCACAAACTTGGTGAATTTATATGAGAAATCTTCAAATTTCCATATTTAGAAAATGGTTAGGGATTGTTGGAAAGATTTTCCATATAATGTCACTTGGACATGTTCGATGAATCAAAGAATATTGCATTGGTCATGTGTACTATATATATATAATTTGAAACTCAAAGCATAAAGACCCTTTTGAAGTTTTACAACTCTTGAAAAATGATGCATTAACGATGTATAAATAAATTAATGATTCTTTGATTGGTTTGGAAAAAATTCTTACATTCTTCTTCATTCATTATCCTTACTGTTCAAAGATCTTTTCCCTTCAACTTTTTTTGCATCCTGAATACCATAGAATCTAATTACAAAGGCTCTCATATATTCAAATACAACCTTGACATTGAGTTTGTCATCGTTAAGTGCATGGATCCAACAAACATTTTTAAGCATTCAATTGTATCCTGGACGCAAATGTTGTTTCCTTGCGCGCTTTTTTATTATCTTATGGAGAACTTCAACACACAACTTAAGATCTACTATGAATTTTTGAACAAATTTGGCTCGAATTATTGCAAGGTACTCCCACCAACGGTTTTATTGTTTAAAGGTGTCAATAGCCCACTAAACGTCACTTCAATCTTTTAAAGTGCGACTTCTAAACTTTGATACTTCAAATGGAAAGAAAGTTGTCAACATGTTATTATGGGATAAGAAATTGGGGACAGCATTGCGAGTGGCAAACATGTTGTCAATATAGTTTCTTGGATATTTGCATCTTCAGTGCCCAACTTTCAAACTCCCTGCATTTTTAGCATCCAACCTCTAAAATCGCACTTTTCACGGTCCCATCGTTTATGGTTATTAGCATAATCAGTCCTTTTTACCATTTTGTGTCAAACTTGTCATTAATATGGCAAAGAGTATAACTGTATGGACATAAAAAAATACATAATATATGATTATATGAGAATATGTCTGATGAAAAATTGATGAAAGACCAGAGAATCAGTTAAAGAAATAGTCTGTATAATTAGATGCAACCACAAGCACTAGAAATACCAGTTGTATTCTTCTTCGAGACCATTTCTTCTGCCTTCCTAATCTTCACTTCATTAAGCACATTTCCGGCCCATTTAGAAAAGAAACTTTCATTGTATCCAATTTTGCCACCTTTAAAAATGGCCATGCACCGGCGGTCGTCGTCTGGATACTGGCATTGATCGCCATCGGGATCGCGCCATGCGCCCTGGTGTACCATCCCGGACCAGCTAGCAATCCAGTGGTACACGTATTGACCAACGCCGGCCAACTTTAACCATCCCTTGGGGAAGAATTCCATTACACTGCTGTTTCTGTGCATGAAGAACATGTTTGTCAATTGTGCCCCGTGTGGAGAGATCAAAATGTCTGTTGAACTCATTAGTTTCACCTGAAAAGAATGCATATGGCAGTCGGAATAAGAAGATTGTTGTAGAGGTGTCAAAATATGCCCGCACAGGTCAAGCCTGCAATGTGGCCCGGTAGTGCCAAGAAAAAGCCCTGCCCAGTCATGGCCCAACGTGCCTATTGATTATGTGGATCCATTCGAATGTGTAATTGAAAATTAAGTTTGACTATTTAAAAATATTTTATAAATTTGCATAAATGAGGCTTAAATAAGTGAGGGAAAAAAACTCGTTAATACACTTCAAGGTCAAGTATGAATGGGAAGAGACAGTGTAACGACAGTCACTAAAGTAGCCTAACGGTTGCAAAGAACACCCTAAATATCATGGATTAGAGTTGGTTGATTTGTCCATATCAATGTAGATAAGAGTTCTTTAGTAAAATAAATACATTGGCGAATATAATAGTCATTCTCAAAATCGAGGATTTAAATTCAAGAGTATTCAAGTCCCAAAAACAAGTCATTTTCTCTTGAGTTGAGATCTGTTATCCACATTTGATTGTTCCTCTACTAAAATTTGACAACTGGGCAAATAAACTCTTGTTTGCAATAGTGAAATCTCATTTCAAAGGTGATTTTACTTGTAGTTTATTGTATCGATATCTTCTCAGTTGCTGATAAAAACTTGTCTTTTAAGGTGTCAAAAATTGAGTACGAGAGACATCTAAATGGAGATCTCTCTCAAGGATGCCATTGATTTCTTAGCCTGTTGTCATGGCATCGATCATATAAGGGCAGTTGGCTATTGAACCCAATTTCGACCACTACGTCAGGATAAATTTATGTATCGAAAACCCGTGATCAAAGATCCATCAAATTGGTCTCAAAAGACTAGCGAGGAG